AGCAACTTCAAATTTTTAAAAAATTACACATATGAAAACATATGTTCCCACAAAAATTAGTACATGAATGTTCACAGCAGCATTATTCATATAACCAAAAAGTGGAAACAACCAAAATGTCCAGCATGTGATGAATGGATAAACAAAATGTGGTATATCTATACAAAGAAATATTATTTATCCATAAAAGGAATGAAGGACTGATCCATGCTACGACATGGATGAACCTTGAAAACATTATGCTAAGTGAAAGAAACCAGACATAGAAGACCACATATTATATGATTCTATTTATGTGAAATGTCCAAAAGAGGCAAATCCACAGAGACAGAAAGTAGAAGAATGGTTTCTAGGTGCTAGAGGAAGGGAGAAATGGCGAGTGACTACTAACTGGGTACAGAGTTTCTTTGTGGGATGACGGAAATGTTCTGAATTAGGTAGTGCTTATGGTTGACAACACTGTGAATGTGCTAAAACCACTAAACCGTACACTTCAAAGTGGTGAATTTTATCTTTGGATTTTTTAAACAAAGCAGCACTGTACAAATCAAAATAAACAAGTTTTTGTGCCAAAGTAGGTCTGAGAACTGTAAATTTTTTCTATAAGAAATTCTCAAATGACACTCCCTTGTCTGCTTATGTGTGGACAGACGTATATGACTGAAAACATTAATAAAAGGACAGTCTTTTCTCAATTAGTAGAAAAAAAACTAAAGTAAAGGTTAGTTGAGTTTCCCTCAACTTAGTTTTTTCCCAGAAAAGTTTTTTTTAACTTTTTGGTCCCTTCTAAATTAGAATATAGTGTCTAATATATAGAGAAAATATATATACTAAATTTCATAGCATTCTATAAGCACAATAACTTCTAGGTAGTATACGCCTGAATTGACACACTGGATCTTAAATAGCCATAAGAGGGTTTAAATGATACCTAACACTTACTTGAAAAGTTACCATAGTCAAAGAATAACAATTCAAGTATTTGAGAGCTTCAGGCCTGGCCCTAATGTAAGTAGAATAAAAATGGTATAAATAAAGTCCTGGAAGAGCTCAGGAAAGGGATCAAGAAGGTGGATTTCAGATGGCTCTTCAAGTATAACCAGACTTTTCATGGGGGTTGGGGAGACATTTGAGGGAGAGAACACCATAAAGACGCAGAGGAATGCTGAAGACACATGGAGAAAATATAAAAGCATGTAGATAATCTGGAACCAATATTCATGTAAGAATTAGGAGCTAACACTAGAAAGAGAGATAGAGGTCAGATTGTGAGATTCTGAATGCTAGTCAAGGAAATTTAGACTTTTTTAGAAGGCAGTTCTAATTATCTTTGAAACAAAGCCAACTTAATTATGTAGTTGGTGGATATTCTAGGTCACCTGCTGCTATTTTTAAATTTTTTGCCTACTTTTATAGGTAATATATTTCTCCTTGGCACCTATACAAAAATAAACAAAACAATTATGTTACTGAGGTTAGATACAGGCATAGCAATTTAATTAATGATTAAAGAAAAATCTATTTTACCTACAAGAATAAGAGTGGCTGTTTATTCTCTCTCTAGTGCCTATTTATTTTAATTTCTTACTGTATGATTTCCAAATATCCAGCCACACTTAATTTTTAACTTTTGTCACATTTTGCTTTACCACTCTAAATATGTTAGACATTCCCAGGACTGTTTCCAGCTTTCAACCTACTCCTTCCCCATTTCACACTGCCCCCTCCAACCTAGCCCAAGGACAATGTTTGTTTATATCTCAGAATAATAAAAATGACAGACTAGAATCATATTTCTTTGATCTTGCCATGGGGCACACTATAATGACTACATCTGAGAGGACAGGGTAAGAGATAGGGTTCCGGGGGCTGAAATTATATGCAAGTGCAGCATCAAATGTGCACAGGGAGACAGCCCAGGTTTGAATATCGTGTCTGCAACTATCAGGCTGTGTGACCTTGAGAAAGTTACTGAAATCATTCTTTGTCTCACTTGCCTCACCTAGAAAAAAAGGAAATAATAATATAGTACTATCTAACAGGTAATTTTGTGAAGATGGTATGACTTACTATATGTAAAACACTTAGAATAATATTGGCACACGGTAAATGTTACTATTTTATTCACTATAGTGCAAGCTTTACAAAAGCAAAGAATGTAGTCTGCTTTGCTTACTGAACTCCATGACTAAAATCATGCTTAGCACATAGAAGGTATATAATAAATATTAGTTTAATGAATGAACAAACGAATAAGAAACATTTTGTTCTTACAGTGAGAGAAGCAGAAAAGCCCTATTAAACAGGGAAGGAAGAAAAACAGAATTGAATATACTGCTCCTCTTCCTCTACTTTTCCCCACAGATCATTTTCTCTTAGTTGTGTTGAGAGTTATAACATCAGCACTCATTGAGAAATGTTTTCAGAAACAGTTCTATAAAAGCCTTTCATGTATTTGTTTCAGAAGTTAGTTGAATATTGCCCATATAAACCTTGTTACTCAAAGTGTGGTCCTCTGACCAGCAGCATCAGCATCACTTAGGTCCTTGTTAAACTTGCCAGTTAGCAAACAGCCAATATCTACTCCATAACATTTTGTATGTTAAAAAGATCCCAGGTGAACAACAAGTATATTAAAGTATAAGAAGTACTACTATATATCACTTTAGTTGAAGAGCACAGGCTTCAGAAGGATCAGGGTTCAAATTTAGCCTCTGACTCTTTATTATGTAAATGACCTAGGGGCAAGTTTATAAACGTTCCAATTTCCTCATCTGTAAAATTGAAATAATAATAGTAGTTACCTCAAAGAGTTGCTATGAGGGTTAAATGAAAATCCATATGCAGCATTTGGTAGACTGCAAAGAAAACAGGATGTGCCCAATAAATGTTAGGTGCTGTTATTATTGAAATCCCCCATCCACTACTATGAGGTCCCACAAAGAAATTTTAGCATTAAATATTAAGAAGAGCTTTACTTTACTGAAAAAAGTTTGCTTTGTTTTTCTTTCTACTTTAAACTATACCGTAAGTCTCCCTTCAAGATCGGTATCAAATTTAAGGTCTCCGAATAGAAATAATTGCCTATTAAACTTCTATTATCCTGACCTTTGTTTCCAATTCACATTTTCTCTGCTTTTGATTTTAATTGTATATGGGAATAAGCAAATACATGAACTAATGACCAAACTGAATGACCAAATGAATAAATCATATTAAGTCTAAACCCAGAACTCATCCTTAGGTAATACTACTAAAAGTCTGAAAATTCAAGACGGAGTTCAGAATACTTTAAAATTATTACTTTACTGTAGTAGCCTACTAATTTAATTTTAACATATAGAAATTTTCAAATCAGAAATTTGGCTTACAAATAAAGCCACCACAGAGATTTGAAATCATATAAACAATGATAAAAAGAGGACAATAATCAGGATTTTGGCTTTAAGCAATGCTTAATACATAGGAACACTATTATATACTACATGGAAAGGCATAATTCCCTGTTTTCAAGCAATGCTTGCAGATATGGGATGCTTTATGGTTCCCTCAAAGCATCAAATAAAGTAAGAACACATTGTTTTTTAAGTTTCAGTCAAAACAGTTAGAGGCAAACTAAAAGCAAAGGGAGAAAACATGGCAAGGAAAGCAAATTCCTTCTACTGTCATTAAAAGGTTATCAAATATTAACTAAGAAATGTTAGCCAAAATTTCAGGTGGTTTCTTTCCTTCTGGAGAGATTAGGACTTAGTTCTGTCCTAGAAAGTTAGGATTTGATCTGCCAAGTTAAGCGAACTAGAAAATTCAAGTCAGAAATCAAGTTTAATAATTATAATCATCATAGACTAAACAGTTTGCAAAGTGTAACAAAAAACCAAACAACCCAACTAAAAATGGACAAAGGACGTGAATAAACATTTTCCCAAAGAAGATATACAAATGGCTAATAAACCCTGAAAAGATGCTCAAAAATCACTTGTCCTCAGGGACTAAGGACTACAATGAGATACCATTTCACACTCATTAGGATGGCTATTATCAAAAAACCAGAAAATAAGTATTGGTGAGGATGGAAAGAAATTGGAGTCCTTAGGCATTGCTGGTAGGAATACAAAATGATGCAGCTGCTGTGGAAAACAGTATGGCGGTTCCTCAAAAAATTAAACACACAATTACCACATGATGCAGCATTTCCACTTCTGGATATATACCTAAAAGAAGGGAAAGTAGGGACTCAAAGAGATACTTGTCATTTGTACACCCATCTTCAATAGTAGCATTATTTACAATGTCTAAAAGGTGGAGTCAACTCAAGTGTCCACTGATAGATGATTTGATAAACAAAATGTGGCATATACACACAATGGAATATTATTCAGAAATTAAAATTATTAAAAAGGAAGAGAATTCTGACGCATTTTGAAGACATTATGTTAAGTGAAATAAGCCCATCAGAAAAGGACAAATATTATATGATTCCTCTGACATGAGGTTCCTAGAGTAGTCAAATTCATGGAGACAGAAAGTAGAATAGTAGATACCAGAGGTTGAGGAGAGGGGAAAATCAGGAGTTAGTGTTTAACAGGTACAGAGTTTCAGCTGGGGAAGATGAAAAAAGTTGTGGGGATGGATGGTGATGATGGTTGCAGCACAACAATGTGGATGTACTTCATGCCACACAACTGAATGCTTAAACAGGTTAAAATGGTCAATTTTATGTTATGTACACTTTGTCACAATAAAAAAATTTACTAAATGTCTATTAAGTTTTGATAACTTCAACATTTTTGATTAAGATTTTTAAACTGTTCTATGTAAAAGAGCAACATATTTGATGGTTTTCTGCCTCTTTTTTTCTTTAAAAGAAAAATCAACCTCCTTTATAGGAAGGCTCCCAATTATTTCAAATTGAGATAGAAATTCAGAATTACATAGCTGGGAAGAGGAGTGGAAGATGGAGGAGATTACAAAACAAAGCAAAACAAAACACACAAAAAAACCTTGTTTAGGTGTTTCTTCCTCTTTTTTAGTCTCCTCATCCTCTAAGCTGGGACTTTCCCGGGAAGAGTTGTCTTGTTGGCTAGAGTTTTTCAATAGTACAGGATCAATTTGTGCTTTCAGGAGTGCAAGAGTCTCAGCCAACTCGTTTCGATTTCTAAACAAGGGAAAAAATAAGACAGCATAAAAATCTTTCTCCTGTTCTAAAGAATTTTCTGAACAATACCTATTAGAAATTAAAATTTAAAAAAAGAAAAATACATTAAGAACATCAAAAGCACTGATACAGCTAGCCCTAATTTATCTTGAATTTTAAAAGTAAGTATTAAGAAAAATACATATTAAAATATACTATTCTCCAAAGAGGAATCTTAAGATTATTTTCCCTACTGATTAGAATGGCAATGAAGGTCTCATTGGTTGAAAAGAAAAGTAGGAACGAAGCTAAATAAAAATCAAAGTTTTATAACTTTTAAAAGTAGTATGCAACCTCTAAGGAGATGAAATCAAGGTAAAACTTGATTGCAGGACTTTTTTCCATACTTCTTAAGTTATTTGGAAATAACTCTTCTCTACATTCAGGAATAACAGCATTTGATGTTAATATAAAATTATAATCCAGAACATTCTGAATTATTATGGCAAAAAGTCAGTCTGACAACACAGTTCAAACACAAAAGAATATGGGTTGCTGATTTTTTTTTGTGTCAATTATGTAACTACAAGAAGGGAATTGAGCTTGATTCAACAATACCAGAAAATTCCAAATAAATAAGATTCTAATCTATAAATTATTTTTACTAGCAAAAGCAAAAGTATAGCATGGTTAATACTACTTACAAATGAGAAAACTCACTTGTATATTTTCCTTGCTCAGACAAGCAGTGTATAATGGTAAAGATAAAAAGCAAATCCTGGAATAAGAGTTGGGAAACTTAGGTCTAGATCTGCCACTAGGTCAATTAATCAGCACCGTGATGCTCCCATCAGTGTTCTCAAAGCACTGTGAAATAGCTCTAATTCAAAGTGAATACTGTCAAGATGAAATGACTCCTTATTTGTCATGTCACACATGTTCCCTACCCTCTCTCCCTTTTGATCTCCATGCCAGCTAGACTATACTGCTTGAGAATAGGGACTCTACCTTATTAAGTAGGCTCTAAAAACAAATGTTCAATGAATGAATGAAATCCTTCTTTCTAAACTAGATGGCTATGTCCCCGAGACAAGTCATATATCCTCACTAGGCCTCAGCCTTCTTACCCATGAAACAAAAGATGAATTCTCTTGAGTATTATTACATTGGCCTCTATTGAAAGCAGTAACATTGCCACTGTTAGGAATTTTTCATAAACTAAAATGACAACTATTTACTGTGTATGGGATTGGGCATACGTGTTCATACACATGAGCATACACAATAAAATAAACAGTCTAGGCCAGGCACTGTGGCTCACACTTGCAATCCCAGCAATTTAGGAGGCCAAGATGGGAGGATGGCTTCAGGCCAGGGGTTCTAGACCAGCCTGGGAAACACAGCACGACCTCATCTCTACAAAAAATAAGAAGAAATTGGCTGGGCATGGTGGAGCTCACAGGTAGTTCCAGCTACTCAGGAGGCTGAGGCAAGGAGGATCACTTGAGCACAAGAGTGCAAGGTTACAATGAGTTATGATCACACCACTGCACTAGAGCCTGGGTGACAGAGTGAGACCCTGTCTCTTAAAAAAAAAAAAAAAGAAACAACAAAAACAACAACAATAATAACACTGCCTAAAAGATTTTTAAGCTGATTAATGTGTTTAAACATAAGCCTAAAGTAGTAATTAATATATGAAAACAGAAAAGTACCCATCTTTGGGTTTCTCCTATTTTGATTGATTAGATTTAGTGTGCTAGAGAAAACAGTTGTTTTAGAAATCCTAAATTTGAAATAGAGGGAATTTTTATAAATATACATATATTCAAATCACATCCAAATTTCTTAACATTATGTACAGGACATTTCAGAGTAGACTAGGAACTCTAACAATCCACTTGTTTTGCCCTCTCCACCCTCCCTCCCTTGCTTTCTTATTCTCCAAACCACTTCTTCCATCAGGCATATTAAATCAGATATATCCCTCCAAAATACCATGCTTTCTTAGGATGTCAGGTGATTGTGCTTTGTTTTCTCAGTCTCTAATATGTTCCCACGGCTAACTCCAATTACTCTTTCAAAGACAAACATTGAATGAATAAATAAAATCTGATATATCCACATAAGGGAATATTATTAAGCCATAAAAAGGAATGAAGTTATTATTCACGTTACATGGATGAACCTTGTAAGCGTGCTGTCTGAAAGAAGCCACATACAAAAGGCCACATATTGTATCATGCTATGTATACAAAATTTTGAGAACAGGCAAATTATAAAAATAGAAGATAGCTGTCGCCAAGGGATGGGAAAAGGGAGAATGGAGAGTAACTACTAATGAGTACAAGATCTTTTTGGTGAGAAAACTGTCCCAGAGTTAAATAGAATGTAGCTATTAATATGAAGGAGATGAGAAATGATCACATTCTGCCTGGAGAGCTGATTGGATTTGATGATAGAGTGGATGTGGAGTGAAAGAAAAAGGAGAGTCAAGGACGTGCCACATGATTTCGGACCCAAGCCACTGAAAGGATGTGGCTGCTATTAAAGATGAGACAAATGTTTTGGGGTAGAAAGGTTAGAAGCTCAGTTCTGGGCAGATTGGTTACTAGTTTTGACTTAACCAGATTCTAAATGCTTGTATTTTCCTATCTATACCTTAAATTAATCTAGACTGTGATGAAAGGGAGCATATAATCCTAACCATTATATTGTGAAATGTGATTTCTCCCAACCTAAAAGTTGTTCTCAGTTTGGGTTGGTGGCAGGTGCTGAACCTTTCAAAAGCAATTGAACCAAGAGTCCAATTCAATAACAAATAACAAAAAGAAACAGACAAAACAAAAACAAAGTCAAGCATAGGCATCATCTTCTGCCAAGTAGGGGCTACATATCTGGTTCTTCCAGAGCACCCTCGGATGATATCCATCACAGACTGCATGACATTGTTATTTTCTACTGTCTCTTTGTATCCTTCTCCCATGGATCCCACTCCTTAAGACATGGAGACCATGTCTTTACATCTACAGAGCACAGCACAGTGTAAATATAACAAATCTTTTGTAAGTATTTGTAATATATGACTCCAGGACTCAGCAACACTATTCAAACTTTTTGGTATGATTTCCAAATTATTCAGTACGCAAAAAAGAAAATTTTATTGGGGCCAAGAAAACTGAAAATAGGCGTTAATTAATAACATCAATAGCAGTAGAATTAACATTAGAAGTTAAAATTAGTGAATGAGTATTATGTTTCAGGCATTACTCTAAGAGCCTTATATGAATGAACTCATATAATTCCAATATAATCCAATTACATGGGTACTAAATTGCTCCCACTTTATACATAAGGAAATGGAGGGCACACAGAGAGGTATAGTGATTTGCCTAGGGTCACAGTACAATTCAGCAGGACTGAATTCCAGATAGTCTGACTTCAGAGTCCATCTTAATCATTATATTAATACTATATTAGCAGATTATATATATTAAATTTAGAAGTATCTTGACAGAGTTGGTAATTATGGATACACAAAAATTGTACACACTATTTAGAATTCAGCTTCTTGAAAATGATTGTCATTACTAATTTTAAAAATATTTTTATCGAGGTATAACTTAAATATTGTGAAATAATTATATCTTAACCATTAGGTTCGTGAGTTGATAAATGCATCATACACTGTGAAATCCACACCACAATCAAAATAAGGAGTATCATAAACACAAAAAATTCCCTCCTATCTTTTCCTACTCAATCCATCTCCCCCACCAAAAAGAAATCAGAGTTTTGATCACTACAACCATAGATTATTAGTTTTGTTAACTCCAGAATTTACAATAAATGGAATCAAACACTATGTATTGTTTGGCTTCTTTCACACACAAGAATTTTTTATATAAATCCATATAGTTTCATAGGCCATCTCTTTTTATTGCTTAGTAGTAATTCAATGTATGAGTACTGTTAAGAATAGAGATGCTATGAACATTCTCATACAAAGCTTTTTGTAAATGCGTTCTCATTTCTCTATTATAAATACCCAGGAGCAAAACTGATGGGTTATGGGACAACAGTTTGTTAACATTTTAAGAAATTGCCAAACTGTTTCCCAAAGTGATCGTATTATTTTACATTTCCATCAGCAAGATATAAGAGTTCTAGTTAGATTATATCCTCATTAACATTTGGTGGTGTAAGTCATTTTCATTATAGTAATTCTATTCAAGGTAAATTGGTATGTCATTGAGGTTTTAATTGGAAATTCTCTGATGAATAATAATGTTGAACACTTTTTAATGTGAATATTGGCCATATGTATATATTCTTCATGAAGTAACAGCCCAACAGTGTGCACAAAACTTTATCTTCCTTGGTAGACTCGGTATAAAAGCACTTCCTGTAGCTCCTCTCTGATCCTGAAAAAGCACCTGATGAAGTTTGGTCTATCTAAGATCTCTATTTGCTAAAATTCTTTCATCTTTAATAACCAAATATTACTATTTTGTCATATTCACATCTTTATCTTTTTCATTTCTAAAGAAATTCTATTGACATATACCCTAGGGTGAATGATATCACTTACTACATGTTATTGGATCAGATGTAAAAAAATATTTTTTCTGTACTTTCATTGAGGCCGAAATTAGAGATACAATAACAATAACATATACTTTTTTTCTGTGGCAATTCTGTTTTAAACATTAATTGGAACAAGTAGGACCTGGCTAGAGATTACATATTTTTGATATTGAAACCTGTTGTGGTACTTGGTTAAACCATACAAAATCACCATTTTCATAAGTCAGAATGTTCAAATGTTCAGTTTCATATGGTTCAATGAAATTAAACTTTTATTGTTTTGTACATCACATACTAAATCTCGTTTCAACTGAAAATATAATTTTTTTTTTTTGGTGAGACAGGGTCTCACTCTGTTGCCTAGGCTAGAGTGCAGTGGCATCACCATAGCTCAATGCAACCTCCAACTCCCAGGCTCAAGTGACCCTCCTGCTTCCACATCGTGAGTAGCTGGGACTATAGGCATGAACCACCATGCCCAGCTAACTTTTCTATTTTTGTAGAGATGAGGTTTCACTATGTTGCTCAGGCTGGTCTCAAGCGATCCTCCTGTCTTGGCCTCCCCAAGTGTTAAGAGTACAGATGTGAGCTACCACACCTGGCCGTCAAATATAAGTCTTTATATATGAATCAACTAATTCATATTTATTCATGTCACATATATTTATATTATTAATTTTGCAACAAACAGAACTGGAAATTGCTACTTAACAGTAGAAGTTTAAAGACTGTGGTGATGTTATGGTATTAAATTTTCACTAGAAGATCAAATATGTAACATTATCCCTTTTTTGGTAGATTCCATTTTTATAAAAATATTCCATTTGATTTTAAGTTGTAAAGTTCAGTTATATTTCCAGACTTAGCAATCATTAAGAAGGCTGACTTACTGGCTTTAAAAAACAGAATTCTAAAGACTAGATAAATTTTGTTATAATATCATCTTTTAAGAATTAGGTAGAAATGTGTTTCCAATGCCAGCTGATTTCCAAGAAAATTGTGTTAAGGAAAAAGGGGAGGCTTTGCATTCACTAGAAAAAAATAATACTCACTAGGTAAGAAAATACCTAAATGCAACCTATTAAATGAAAAGGTCAAAGTCCTATTTGTTTAATTGCTCTTTCCTTATCACTTGAGCTACTAAAGAAATTTCTTGCTAAAAAGACTAACGCCGGCCCAGCGCAGTGGCTCATGCCTGTAATCCTAGCACTCTGGGAGGCTGAGGCAGGAAGATCACTTGAGGCCACGAATTCGAGACCATCCTGAGCAAGAGTGAGACCCCCACCTCTACAGAAATTTTTTAAAAAATTAGCTAGGCACAGTAGCGCACACGTGTAGTCCCAGTTACTCAGGAGACTGAAGCAGGAGGATCACTTGGGCCCAGGAGTTTGAGGCTGCAGTGAGCTATGATCACATCACTACACTCCAGCCTAAGCAACATAACGAGGCCCTGTCTCTTAAAAAAATAAAAAAAGTATAAGGGAGCATTTGTGTATATTATATGCAAATATCACACCATTTCATATAATGGACTTGACCATCTGTGGATTTTGGTATTCATGAGGGTCCTGTAGCCAATCCCCTGTGGATACCGGGGGATAACTACAATGTGCCTACCAATGGTTAAGTAGATGAACCCAGATCAAATTTAACTGCTAACTCTAAAACCTCACACCATGCATTAGAGTATAAACTACTTAAAACAGTGTACATTACACATTGTTTTAAGCTTGTATGACCAATCAATAATAATCATAATTATTTTGCTGTTAATATTTTCTTCATCTACAAAGTAGGAAAAGAAAATGTTTTAAACAACTATGCAAGGTAGATACGGGAAATAACAGAAATGGTAGTATACCATCATGAACAGAACCCCATTTGGTGTTTATATTCATAGGGAGAAATGGTGAGTAGATTTTGCTTGAGGACTACTTTTTTCACCTGCAGTTAGCAAAATAATTACAAGGAGCATGTAGTGATACATATTTATAAAATGAGCACCCATGAGCTCATTCAATTCAGTTTTTTTTAGGCTAGTCAAGTGAAGCAATGGGAGTGGAGAATTATTATTAGGGAGTAGAAGTCGAGCTTTTCTGACCCAAACGAATATAAATTTCTATGGGTTGTTCCTTCAAAGCATTAATAAATGGTCACTAATGTAAACCTGCTAAAATTAAAAATGGGGCAAAAAACCAGATATGAGCTAATGTAAAGAAGTTTTTCATAAGCCAACAGTTAGACATCCGTGACTTTTCCCTACTTTAGAAGACCCCTGATATTTTCAAAATTAATATATATTTGGGGTATTAATGGGATATTTCTAAATAATAAAACTACAAAGAAAATCAAAGACAAAGATTCTGAATAAAGGTCTCAGTATTACTCACTGATTTTTTAAAAAGTTTTGTTTCATGGTTATGCCTTAAATGTTTCTGTCCAAATATATGAGTCAATACAAATAAGAAATCAAATTTCAAAAAACAGAAACATGACAAAAAAGCAATGTCCCTCAGATTTCCTCAGAAGCCCAATAAATGCATGCATAGCAAAAACGGAAAATATACTGTGTCAAGATAAATTGACCAAGTTAAAATAATCAAAAACAAATTGATAATGACTAATACAACAGGCTAGGCCCTGGAAATTCCCCAACCCCACATACAAAAAACTACCATTCCACATCAGAGATCATATTCTAGTCGAGAAGACATCAGAGTACGAAACACAAAATAATGTGAATAGATTCCAATGAAAGATACCTGACAATGCATTTCCATGAAGAGCCATCCTGATCATCTTGTTCTTCTATGTACATTCTGACATTGTGATCTTGATCCAATTGGTACCAGTACATGAGGCCATCTTTGTCTCGCCCAATTGGCTGGAGACGCATAGTATCAGCATCCTCCTCATTAATAATATTCTTGAATTTGAGATTGTCATCAAACTGACACTCACAGAGGTACTGAAAAATAGTCACAACAAGGCTTAAAATACCTCATATATGTTTCTCCATCACAATAAAAAAGATACACCCATAGAACTGATTCAATGAAAACGACAGAACGCAGTTTATCCATCTTTCACTATCCTCTCCCCCATTTATACAAACTGTTTAGTATAACCAATATAAAAAGATAAATTTTAAGGTAACATTTTGTATTAATATCACACCAATTTATGGGTTTAACACAAGCACTGCAACACAAATCAAATTATATTTCACAAGCAATGAGCATGTTTATACTAAAAACTCCCAAATTGTCTCACAGTATAAAATATTCTATTTTAAAATTTTCATTTATTTTAAAAATTTTAATTAATTTATTTTTAATTGACAAAAAATGGTATATATTGACGGTATCAAGCATGATATTTTCACATGTGTGTACTGTGGAATGCCTAAATCAAGCTAACTAACGTATCTATTACCTAATATATTTAGATTTTTGGTGGGATGAGAACATTTAAAATCTACTCTCTTAACAATTTTCTAGTATATAATACATTGTTATTAACTGTAGCCATCAGATTGTATAATTGATTTCCTGAACCAACTCCTAATTCATTTTTTGTAACTTTGATATCTTTCCAACCTGCCTCTACCTCCCTAACCCCTGGTAACCACCACTCTGTTCTCTGCTTCTATGAGTTTGACCCTTTTAGATTCCACATATAAGTGAGATCATGCGGTACTACTTTCTGTACCTGGCTTATTTCACTTAACATAATGTCATCCTGGTTCAAGCATGTTTGTCACAAAAGAAAGGATTTATTTCTTTTCATTATCAATTCGTATGTTGATGGACACTTGGGTTGATTCCAAAGGTTATTGTGATTAATGCTGCAGTGAACATGGGGGTACAGATCTCTCTTTGATAAACGGATGCCATTTCCTTTGGATATATACCCAGTGGTGGGTTGGCTGAATGATATAGCAGTTCTATTTTTAATTTTTTGAGGAAACTCCATGCTGTTTTCTGTAACGGCTATTCTAATTTACATTCTCACCACCAGTGTACCAGGGTTTCCTCTTCTTCACTTCATTGCCAAACTGGTTATATCTTGTCTTTTGGATAAAAGCCATCCTAATGGGTGTGAGTTGATATCTCATTGTGGTTTTAATTTGCATTTCCTGGATAATTAGTGACGCTGAACATTTTTTCATATATCTGTTACCACTTTCATGTCTTCTGAGAAATGTCTGTTCACATCCTTTGCCCGTTTTTTAATCAGGTTACTTGTTTTCTTGCTGTTGAGTTGTCTGAGTTCTTTACATATATTTTGAATATCAAGCCCTTATCAGATGTATGGTTTGCAAATATTTTCTTCAATTTTGTAGGTTGTCTCTTCGCTCTATTGATTGTTTCCATTGCTGTGCATAAGCTTTTTAGTTTAATGTAATCCCATCTGTCTATTCTTGCTTATGTTGTCTGTGCTTTTGGGGTCATATCCAAAAAGTCTTTGCCCAGACCAATGCCAAGAAGCTTTTCCCCTATGTTTTCTTCCAGCAGTTTTATAATTTCAGGTCTGTGTTTAAAGTTTTTAATCTATTTTGAGTTGATTTTCTAAAACCAGTAAGATATGGGTCTAATTTCATTCTGCATGTGAATATCCACTTTCCCCCATATCATTTATCGAAGAGACTAACCCTTTCCATTGTGTGACCTTGACACCTTTGTTGAGGATCAGTCAACTACAGATGTGTGTCTCTATTCCATTCCATCAGTCTGTATGTCTGTTTTTGTGCCAGTACCATGTTTTTTCTTCTTCATAAGCAATAGTTGGTATAAATACCATGTAGTTTTGATCACTACAACTTTGTAGTAGTTTTGAGATCAGGTAGTATGGGGCCTCCAGCTTTGTTCTCTTGGCTTGATATTGCTTTGGCTATTTGGGGTCTTTTGTGGTTCCACATGACTTTTAGGATTATTTTTATTTATGTGAACAATGTCATTGGAATTTTGATAGAGATGGCATTGAACTTGTACATTGTTTTGGGTAGTACGGACATTTTAACAATATTAATTCTTGAAATCCATGAACACAGCATAGCTTTCCATTTATTTGTCTTTAGTTTCTTTCACTAATATTTTATAGTTTTCTATGTAGAGATCTTTCACCTTTGGTTTAACATATTCCTAAATATTTTATTTTTTTTGACACTACTATAAATGGAGTTGGTTTTTTAATTTCTTTTTCAGATAGTACATTAGTAAATAGAAATGCTACTGATTTTTGTATCTTCCAACTTTACTGAATTCATTTACTCATTTTAACAGTTTATTGGTGGAGTCTTTAGGGTTTTCTATATATAAAATCGTGTTGTCTGCAAACAGTGACAATTTAACTTCTACCTTTCTAATTTGGATGACTTTTATTTCTTTACCTTACCTATCTGGCTACAACATCCAGTACTACCTATGTTAAACAGAAGTGGCAAGAGTGGACAAAGTGGCAAGAGTGGATATCCTTGTCTTGCTCCTGATGTGAGAGGAAAAGCTTTCAGTTTTTCATTGTTGAGTATGATGTAAGCTGTGGGCCTGTCATATATGGCCTTTATTATATATTCCTCAATTATATATTGAGATACATTCCCCACACCTAATTCATTGTGAGTTTTTAATCACGAAAGCAAAGTTTAATTTTCTCAAATGCTTTTCCTGCATCTATTGATATGATCATATGCTTTTCTTTTTTTTGAGACAGATAAGCCTGCATGATAATACAGTCTAAAATCTGAGTTTACTATGACTTTGGTTTTCTTACAAAAGTATCTTAGGGATTTTGCAGACTTTTGTGTAGGCTCTAACAGCAATTAATATCTAAAAGCAAAATAACAGCTACTTTATAGTCACATCTCATCTCCAAAATAGTAATATATACACTATTATATGTTAACAATCATCATAAAATCTTGAGGTCCTTTGAATAAGAAGCCTAGTTGTAAAACACAGTAAATTTTATTGGTGGTAAAACTTCATTACTTTCATCACAAAGAGTGTTTTTCCCCTCCATTAGACCACTCTGCTACTAATAAGTGCCAACAATAGCAAGTCAGCAGGAAAAGAATGGGAAACTCTAACTTGAAAAGAAGCCTACTTTGAGATGACCCATTTTAATCAAGTAGGTTTAGTTATGTGAAGGTTTTATTAGGTACAAAATGCATTCCTCTAGTCATCTGGAAAACAATATCAAATTGCTAATTCAGTAAATCAGTAGAAGACTGACCATAGTTTACAGTACATAGCAATTACTATAAAAGCTGAAAACAATGAATATAACTCATTTGGGGCAACTGTTTATCCATTCTATTACTTTTCCTACAAGAAGAGAGAATTAAGGCTGGGTGTGGTGGCTCACGCCTGTAATCCTAGCATTCTGGGAGGCCGAGGCAGGCAGATTGTGTGAGCTCGGGAGATCGAAACCAACCTGAGCAAGAGCGAGACCCCGTCTCTACTAAAA